CGGTACTCGCCTCAAAACACAAAACTTTGGTACACATCCCTCTTTTAATTTGATATCTACTTCGTAATCTTTTAAACAGCCCAACTCTTCGTCAAAAATTTCTTGATAATCATCCACCAATTTTCTTACTCCCTCCTGCATCCTGATTATTTCCAACTCTCCTTCCCGGTTCCCACATGCCATTTTTTGGCTCGGATGCTCCTTTGTCATTTCTTTTTTATTATATTTTCATTATTATACTGCAACTTCCCTTTCCCGCTCTTCGCTTCATTATCGGTTGTCTCCTGGATCTTCCCCTCCCAGTGTCTGTCCTTTTCCTACTCGCATACCCATAACTCCCCACCACTAATTCTCCCTCGTAATTCCTTCCCCCCGCCCACCCCTTACAATTATTTTTTTCCCCTTCCTTGGTACAAATTTCTGCCCCCATCTCCTCTTCACTATTACTCGCCACTACTTCCCCCTTGGAATAATACTCCTCTATTTCTCCCTTAGAATTATTCCCCTTGGAATTATACGCCCCTATTTCCCTCTTGTAATTATTCCCTATTTCCCCCTTATAATTATTCCCTATTTTCCCCTTAGGATTATGCGCCCTTATTTCCCCCTTAAACTTATTCGCTTCAATCCCTCTTATAAAATTATTCCTTATATTTCCCTTCCCCACTCTCCGCTTGCCTCTCCATTATGATTATCTCTTCTGATTCCCTCATTCCTAAACCTTACTCCCAGACCTCCACCCCTAATTTCTCCCCTCATTTCCTCAACTCCCTCCCGTTCCCAATTGAACATGTTCTCAATTCCGGGCAATACTTCCACGTCCTCATATGTCCTCCTCCCATCTGTATCATCACTCACCATCGGAACGAATACTCCCCACCATGCAAATACCCCCCAAAAACTATACCATGGACCAATCCGGGTGATCCAATCCCACCCCAATACCGCTTCTACTCTCCTATTTCTAAAACCTCTATCCCTCCTTCCGTCATTGCCTCTATTTCCACTCTTCCCATTACTGCTATTTGCGACCCATCGAATTGTCGTATTCTCAAGCCTTCATTTGCTATCATTCCATCGGGCCAAATACTCCTATATCTCGCATAACTCATTACTGAAATAGCTGCCCCCGTGTCAAATAGCATAGGTACCCTATTCCCATTGAAGTCTATTATTACTCTAGGACAAGGACCATGTATTAAATCGTCTTGTATCATCCTTACATTCCCAATTATATTTCTTTGTCTTCGTGAATACATTTTGTTTGTTTCCAATAACCCACTCTCTTGGCCCCGTGTATCATTTTTTTACCATCATATAGTCACAAATTAGCACAATCCCTTTCCACATGTCCCCTTTCTCGACATCGAAAACATTCCACGGTTTGATCTTCAACTCCCTTCGGAAATACTACTCTTCCCCCAACTCTGGCATCCTCAATGGTTCGCACAGTTGAAGTATTTGGCCCCATTACCTTCTGGGGGAAACCTCCCCGAGTATTATAATTTCCCGTATTACATTCTTCCTTATTGTGACCAAATCTTCCGCAACCCGCGCATCGTAATTTCTCTTGTTTTCCTGGACAATAAGGGGCTATATGACCAAATCTACCACATTCGAAACACTTTGCCTCCCTTCAATCTCTGACCATATGTCCTTGTCTTCCACAATTATAACAATTCATTCTTCCCCTCACTCTCGAATCAAAACTGGGTCTTATTTCCCCTCTACGTCCCTGAGAATCATCTCTAGGTCCGCTAAAAGGTCCCAACCAGTGGCGTAGCTAGGAATTTTTCTTAGAGGGGGTCCATACATATAAAAGCTGGGGCTTCGCCCCCAGACCCCTTTAACGGGCCTTCTGCCTTTTGCCGGCCTTCGGCCGGGTTTATCTTACAAATCATAACCATATCTTCGATAATATATAATAAATATATTTTTTTAAATGCATCAATAATATGTTATTATAATTTAGTAGATTACTCACAGTGACTTTATAATAATACTATCCAGAATAATTTAAATAGTAATATAATATCTTTCCACAAACATCAAAACCAGAAAAATATAAATATTAATGGTGTTTATTTAATATAAATCACTTTTAAGTCTTTTGAACGTATAATCTAAAAATAAATTTCTGCTCTGGGAGGGGTCCAAACCCGAAAACCACCCCCGTAGCTACGCCACTGGTCCCAACCTTTTATTACTATATACTTCCCTCCCATCAGGCTTACTTATTAATTTATCCACTTCACTCTCTGTCCATCCATTAATTAATTCTTGAACCGGCAACCATGTTACCTTTCCCATAACATCCTCCTCTCCATTATGCCCCTCTATTGTTAATGTCTGGCCCTTTATTCTCACGCTACGACTCTTTTTGACTCTTCTACCCCAAATCAAACTACACATCCAAATCACTAATATGACTAGTGCTCCCATAATATTATATTGTAATTCCCAACCTTTTATAAATCTAAAAGTTTTCATTTTCTCTCTACAAAAAGTTAACTAATACTTTTAATATAAAGAGTTTAACAATTTGCAACGTTAATAAATAAATACTATGAGAATTGTAAACAAACTAAAGATGCAACTATACATATATCTTGTATGCCGTACAAAAATTTGTTTTCCTTTTTTTTTAAACCTTTTACTATGTTTCCTTATTATTATAAATTCAGGTTTTCCTTCTTTTTCAAAACCTTTTACTATGTTTCCTTATTCTTATAATTTCCGGTTTTTATTCTTTTTTAAAACTTTTACTATGTTTCCTTATTCTTATAATTTCAGGTTTCCTTCTTTTTTAAACCTTTTACTATGTTTCCTTATTCTTATAATTTCAGGTTTCCTTCTTTTTTAAACCTTTTACTATGTTTCCTTATTCTTATACTTTCAGGTTTTCCTTCTTTTTTAAACCTTTTACTATGTTTCCTTATTCTTATAATTTTAGGTTTCCTTCTTTTTTAAACCTTTTACTATGTTTCCTAATTTTAAAATAACCTTTTTCCCGTAATCACGTCGGGGTCACCACTGTTAGTTTATCAAAACAACCCTATTTATATTTTTACTTCTATATTTCTTTATTGTTAAAATATCAAAACAACACTATTAATAATTTTACTTTTCTATATTTCTTTATTTTTTCTTCAATAAAAAATCAATAAAATATATATCGTACATAAAAAAAAAATAATCATCGTTTGTTTTTCTTTTCGCGCTTATATATTTGTTTTTTTACAAAATCATCCCTTTTATTTATTGTTTTATTTATCACAAGTCAATCAACTTTCTTTTTTTTAATATTTATTTATTCAACTCCTTATTATTCGTATATTACGCCATTATCTTCCTCTAGCGCTAGGCTTAATAGCTTGCTCCCTTAACAATTATATTTGCAAATATTTGAGTGAAAAAATCAATTCTTAAAATCATAATCTGAAACCCATTTTTAGAATTAATAGACCATTTTATAATTTATAAGAACAGGTTTAATAAAAGTATGAGCACATTGCTCAAATTTTTAAAAATGATTGCTTTTACAGGGCTTGGAATTAGTTACCTTGAGAACACACATATCAGATTTAAGAACTCAGAACAACATTTTCAAATTTTAAAGTACCAAAACTCTTTTTTTTGTCAAGGAGACTTGCAAATTCAATTTTTTTTTCAGTTTCACCTTAAATTCCAATGATCACCCAACCTGAAATTTATTTTCTGGCCTGGCCTGAATTTTCATTTATAATTAAATTACATGTAAATTAGACACATTTGAACTGCATGTTTTACCTGTCAATAGATTATTCAAATTCTAATCTAGATAAGTGTTATTTATAATTTTATAGATAGAAACAAAATACAACATGAATTCTGAGTCTGATTCATCATTTGATGAGGATGACATTCTAATGGTTCCGGGTGATATAGAAATTATACCTTCCCCTTCTTCCAGAATTGCAAAAAAATAAAAATATTTTGAATTCCACAAAGAGAAAGCTGGTAACACAAGTACTATTATTGTCAAATGTCTCCTATGTCTTCCAAATAAAAAGTATATTTTATCATCTAAGTCATCCACAGCTAATCTATGGAAACATATCTCTATAAGTTTATTTTGACATAACTTGTCTTAAATGATTATAAATTTTAATATGTAACAAGATTTTCGTTTTGCTGAATATTATATAAAATAATTAATTGAATTAACTTTATAAAGAATAATAAATATTAATTAAATATTTATATACATAAAATATATACATAAAATATATATTTATAGAGAAAGCAAACCAATCCTTAAATATAAAACAAACCATAAATAATAAGAAAATTCAACCACATTAAATAAGAAACAAACTAAAATTAACTTTGGTGGAAAATCAAATTTTAAAGGTATCAACAAGTATAAATTTGATTCACAAAATATATAATAAATGGAAACCATCCATATTCAACCTGTGTTGAAGATTTTATTGAGCTAATAATCACCCTGTAACCTAATATGAAGATTATATGCAGACAAACATTAATTTCAAGAGTATCAAAATATTTTGTTCAAAGAAGGATAAATTAATAGAGCCCACTTTTGTTTGTACAATAACTAAACTGAGAATTGACAAGGAAACTTAGAAATGACAGGATTTTTATTTTATAGCATATCACTATTTTATTTTGATCTATACAATAAGGGTTACATATATTAGTAACAAGGAAAAAAAAATAAGAAGAAGGAGAGGGGGGGGGGGCAAAAAGTATTGAGGTTAAAACTAATCATCTTGTGGGATGAGGCTGCCTATGAAGCTAATGTAATTAGTTTTGTATATTTTAAAAATATAAATAAAATGGTTTTATATAAATCAAATTTATCTTAAATTAAAATCTAAATAAATAAAATAGAATATAGAAGAAAATGTAGTCAATGAATTTATAATATGTATAGCATTTTTGGATTTTAAAAAGGTAATTTTTTAAGCATATAATTGCATTTTCCTTAATTTGATGATAGATAAATAAATATAATAAAGAATGAAGCTATTTTTATTTAATCTTAATATGTATACTTAATAAGTTATCTGGGTTTTGAACCATGGCAATTATTTTTGCTAATAATTTTTTAAATAATCATTTTCAATGGGGTAAATATTACCACATTTTTGTGAGGCAATCAGGTTGGACCCATAATTGATTTCTATTTATGATAAATGATTCTTTGAGGTAAGTGTAAATTATATACAAAATTATAAGTGAGAGGTGAAAACCATTGTGTGATAAAAAATTTGTTAAAAGAATTGATAAATTTTTTATTTCATTATTAGATAAATTTTATATAACATCAAATTTTCCATAATATATTTGGCCTTTTTTCTAAATATTTATAGAAATCTTGGGAGAATGAACAGATAATCTATTCCTCTCATTTGATTATTGATTTAAGAAAAGATTTCAATTAAATGAATTGACAAAGTGATTCCATATACTGAAATATTGTTTATTTTTGTTAACAATAAATTAAATTTTTGGATATGGCTTGGGAATAATCTTTGAAACCTATGATGTGGTTTGGGTTTGGATTTCCATTAAACATGAACTGGGCCTGAAAATTATTTTTACTTATGACCTAGGCTGGATGAAGAAATCAATGCCAGTGAAGGTCTCTAATTTCAATGATTAAAATATATCATTTCTCAGACTTTATTTGAAGATAAATGAATGGGCAAATCACAAATATGCCTGTTTTCAATTATTTGCAAAATTTATTAGGATTGTTAATTTAAAGAAACTATGATTTCAAAGCATCATACATTTCTAAAAATTGTTGGACACTAAGAAATAAAGAAATCAATTGTGAAGTGTATAATGGAGGAAATATTGATCCATGATTGTTTTGGCATAAATAACAAAAAATATTATATTTTTTGTGACCATGCATTAAGCTTACATATAATATAATAGGAATCTTTTAAGAAAACATTATCAAAAATATAAGTTAATAGCTGATAGTCCATTATGAATGACTGGTAATCAGAATTTTCTTCTTTATTCAATGATGGGTGCATAATAAATTTCCTTTATATGATGATGATTGAATCAGTAAATTTTTCATTATTTTTATAAAATATGTTAATAGAGTGTATATTTATGAATTTTAATTTAAAAACAATAAGGGTCTAGAATATATTTTTTTGATTATAAATTACAAATACAAATGAATAAGAATTTATTTTAAAAGATTTTAATATATTTTTTAGATTAAAAATATAATACAAATGAATAAAAATTTATTGTGCACATATATTAAAATATCTAAATATATATTTCTTTAATATATTTTGTAAAACCACTGGAAAATTTTAAAATTACACCCTCATTTAAACAAATATAAATTTAATTTCTGAATCACACCTCATAAGATAGGAGAATTTTAAGATTCAGCCATCCACCGTCAAATAAAGGATAAAATTATGATTCTCCATCATTCTTGATGGCCATCAGTGAGTAAAAAAATATTATCTAAATATTTATTTCATTTTTATTCTAGATGCCAAGTAACAAAACAATATATAAAGTCAAATGTGACTATATTAATTGTAAAACTTCTAAAATAAGAAGTGACAAAATAAATAACCATTATAAACATAAACATCCTCATGTCAAGTTATCTGATATCAAATTTACAAAGATAGCTATCAAAAAGGATAATAATTGGGTATCCTTAAATAAAGATATTCCATTCAATATCACAAATGGGGTTGAAACCAAGTTACAAAAAAAATCAATAACATCTTACTTCCAAAAAGTAATTTTTTATATATATTATTTTAATTCATGACAATAAATATAAGTAAAAATAACCTTAAATTTTGTGAATTAGTAGAAACCAATTCTTCATCTATAATTTGAGCATAATACTTTTAATTTTTATTAAAGATAAGATTTTTAATATATAGGTACATTTTTATTATGCCCTTTATCAATTTTGAAGGAAATAAATTATAAGAATATTTAAATATTTCAACTTTTGTTAAAAAAAAATTTATATATTATAATTAAGAATAAAATAAGTCATTTGCCTAAAATTTTCACTACTCTTTATTTAATAATTAGCACAAATCTTTTATTGAAGATTCCCAAATTATATTATCTCATACAATGCCCAGTTCCAGTGATCTGCTGATTTTGAATAATGAGGTACTTAATTTAAATAAGATTTGTTTTATAATTTTGAAGGGAATAAATGAGGATATTCAGATATTTTCATGAACAAATTTTAATTAATCTTTATTTAATAATTAGCTCAAATCTTTTACTGAAGATTCCCAAATTATATTATCTCATACAATGCCCAGTTCCAGTGATCTGGTGATTTTGAATGATGAGGTACTTAATTTAAATAAGATTTGTTTGATAATTCTGAAGTGAATAAATTATGAAATATTTTCCACTTTTCTATATCTTAATTAAGAATAAAATTTTTATTAAAATTAAGATTTTCATAAGTAAACAAATTTTAACCACTCTTTATTTAATAATTAGCATGAATCTTTTATTGAAGATTCCCAAATTATATTATCTTCTCATACAATGCCCAGTTCCAGTGATCTGCTGATTTTGAATAATGAGGTACTTAATTTAAATAAGATTTCTTTTATAATTTTGAAGGGAATAAATGAGGATATTCAGATATTTTCATGAATAAACAAATTTTAATTATTCTTTATTTAATAAGTAGCACAAATCTTTTACTGAAGATTCCCAAATTATATTATCTCATACAATGCCCAGTTCCAGTGATCTGGTGATTTTGAATGATGAGGTACTTAATTTAAATAAGATTTGTTTGATAATTCTGAAGTGAATAAATTATGAAATATTTTCCACTTTTCTATATCTTAATTAAGAATAAAATTTTTATTAAAATTAAGATTTTCATAAGTAAACAAATTTTAACCACTCTTTATTTAATAATTAGCATGAATCTTTTATTGAAGATTCCCAAATTATATTATCTTCTCATACAATGCCCAGTTCCAGTGATCTGCTGATTTTGAATAATGAGGTACTTAATTTAAATAAGATTTCTTTTATAATTTTGAAGGGAATAAATGAGGATATTCAGATATTTTCATGAATAAACAAATTTTAATTATTCTTTATTTAATAATTAGCACAAATCTTTTACTGAAGATTCCCAAATTATATTATCTTCTCATACAATGCCCAGTTCCAGTGATCTGCTGATTTTGAATGATGAGGTATTTAATTTAAATAAAACTATACACTCTTTAATAATAATTAGCAAACACACAAAGTTATTGAAAATTCCCCAATTATATCTTTTTTTCATCCAATTATCAATCCCAATGCAAGCCAAAATATTTCAAACATTAAAGGCCCAAATATTATTCAATTATATAAAAAAAAGGAGCCTAATGACCCTTTTCATTTCATATTCTTTAGAATGACAAATATCTTGATTAATTTCATAATTTCCATAGGCCCATGTCAGCCATGTTCAAATATATTTCAATATCCTGTTACTCACAAAAGGTTTTTAAAAAATTTAATTTTTATTAATTTTTACGCATCCATTATTTCTACTTTTAAATAGGAGCATGAATATATCCTATTATAAAAAGGTTAATATTGATGGTTCCCTCAAACCAAGAAATTGGTTATCCTATAGCACCACTTTAGACAAAGTCTTTTGTCTTTATTGTCTTATGTTTGGTGGCCCTAAATCCAATACTTTTTGGACTCAACTTGGAGTAAATAATTGGAAAAATTTTAAGCGTGACTTAGAGAGACATGAGTCATCTTCTATTCATAAGGATTGTGAATACACCAACATGACTTGGCTTGCAAATAAGCGTATTCAAGATCATTTTCTATCAAATAGGCTTGATATAATAATGGAAAATCGTAATATAGTTCATAATATTATTGATGCCATTATATACCTTATAAAATGTAACATAGCCTTTTGGGGCACTAATTCGAATGAAGGTAATTTTATGTGCCTCATAAAATTAATGGCAAAAACGGTTCCAACTTTACGGGCATACATTGATAACAACGAAAAATTGAGGAGAAAAAAATCAGATAAAATTTCAAGACCTTATATAAATTTATTGTCATATGGCCATGTGAAAAAAATTATTGAAGTCATTAAGATAAAAATAATAAAATGTATTATTCAAAAAATTAAAGAGAATTGTGCCTATAGCATCATATTAGATGGAACATATGATGTGTCTAAAAAAGAATGCATTGCTTTACTTGTAAGATATATAGAAGATGATCCGCATCCACATCCTGTAGAAAGGATCATCCATGTTTTTACAACATCAGAAACCACCGGGGAAAATATAAAGAAACATGTTTTTTCTAAGTTCAAAGATCTTGGTCTTCCTCTTGATTATATGGTTGGGCAAAGTATGGATGGTGCAGGGAATATGAGAGGAGTATACAAAGGAATGCAGGCTTTAATATTGAAAGAGGCTCCAAAAGCCATATATATTTGGTGCCATGCACATAGGCTCAATTTAGTAGTTGCTCATGTTTGTGGATGCAAAATAGAAATGAAAAAGGTAATGGGAATATTGGATGAGTTATATAATTTCATGAATGGGGTAAGACGTCAAGGAGTGTTTGTTAAATATCAAATGACAAAGTCTAAAAAATCTCTTAAAAGAATAAAAAATACAACAAGGTAAATATAATATTTTTAATGTAACTTATCTTTTTTTAGAAATTGGTCATCATCTTATAAAGCTGTAGAAATTTTTTTAGATGTTTATGAACATATTATAGCATCATTAAATGAATTAAAAGATTCTAATGACCCAAGCACCTCTTCTATTGCCGATGGATTATTAACAAGAATTAAGGATGAAGATTTCATATTAAGTCTATTTATTTTGAAAGAAATATTGAAATGCACACATGAGGCTTGTATTGAAATGCAGGCAGTTGGTAATGATTTGGCTATGGTAACTAAATTAATACAACACACAAAAAATAAATTACAAAGACTAAGAGGTTAAAATTAGTTACGATTTCTATAAATAATTTTAAAATGTAGCTAATGGGGATAATATTTTTTTAAAATTGCATTCCTTATCTAACAGTTATTTGAAAAAGAATAATGTTACAACGGAATTGCATAATATAAAATCAATATTCAAATTTGATCAAACAGCATTCAATAATTATGTTAAACAAAAAAAAAACAAGTTGAATAAAAAAAGATTTAAAATTATTATTTAGCATTATAGATATAAAAGGGAAATATTTTTCCCTGTGCTTGATACAATCATTAATGATTTAAATGAAAGATTTAATTATGATTGTTTAAATTTTTTATCTCAAATATCTCTTTTTACACCAGCTGGAATTATAGCCAATGATAGAATAGAAGGGTGGCAAATATCTCAAATTTGTCATACTTACCAATTAAATGCTCAAGATATTGCTCGTGAATATAATGATTTTCGATCTTTATATTTGGATTCACAAGCAATCATTTATTGCAAGGATCTTTTGAAAATAAAAAAGAATGATGGGTTATATATTGATGAAAGTAATTTATTGATATTTTATTTAAAATTATATATAATTAAAGGTATTGTAAACGATGAAACCGAGGAAGATATCAATAACGATAACATAATTAATACAAAAAAATGGATAAAATATTCATTTATACTACCATATCGTCTTTTAAATAAATTAAATTCTTATTCTAATTTATATTTATTATATAAATATTTATTGACTCTACCAACTACTTCTTGTTCAGCCGAAAGAGTGATGAGCAAAGTCAAAATAAATAAAACTAGAATGCGGAATAAAATTTCTGACCCCTTTTTAGAAAATTTACTTCTAATATCCAGCGAAATTGATGTTTTTGAAAGATTTAAAATAGACGACATTATAACGCGATTTGCATCTACGTCTAAAAGATTAACTAAATTATTAATAAAATAAGTTATATCTTTTTCACAGCTAATTATATACGCCTTTTTAATAATGTAAATTTAATTTAATAGTTTTTTATATCATTCTAGTCCGGTGCATAATATAATACTATATTCATTTTATTTAAATATTTTATAATAGTTATATTTACATAAATGTTTTTATAATTCCAGTGCAAAATATATTATATTCATTTTATTTTAATATTTTATATAAAACTTATATTTACATAGATGTTTTTATAATTCCAGTGCAACTATATTCATTTTTTTCTCATATTTTATATAAAAGTTATATTTACATAAAAAAATTTATATTTCCAGTGCAAAATATACTCTATTCATTTTATATTTTATATAATAGTTATATTTACATAAATGTTTTTATAATTCTTGTGCAAAATATACTATATTCTTTATTCTAATATTTTATATAAAAGTTATATTTACATAAAAATTTTTTTTATATAATAGTTATATCTATATGAATGTTTTTAATTAATATAAAGGCATTAGTATTTATAGAATCAAGCTATACCTCTTTAAAATTACTCATTTTGTTTTTTTTACTTAATATAAAGGTATTAGTAATTATAGAATCAAGCTATACCTCTTTAAAATTACTCATCTTATATTTTTTTACTAAATTTTTGATATTTTTTTATAGTAATGTAAATATGTTATCTCATTTAATACTATTATATTAATTTTTATGAAAATAAATTGATTATCAATCAAATTATGAAAAGATTGCACTACCTACTTAAATATAAGTTAATTGAAAACGGATAGTAACAATAGTTATCAGTTTGTAAATTTTTTTTTCCAAAGCAGGTCTGAATGTTTGTAAGGGTATAAATAGTGACTTAATATAAGATTTTCTTGATTAAGGCAAATATCGCGGCCGAAGGCCGCGAAATTTTTTTAGGGGGGTAGGGGTAGATTTGGGATGGGGGTTGCCTCCATCAAATTTTCTGCCATGTAGACGCTGATGTATAGAACAGAACAGATATATTATATAGAAAATATAACACCCATAATAAATTTTTTAAATCATAAATATATTTATACCCAGCCCAAAGTAAGCGTTAAGAAATTGGGCTGCAGGCTAAATATTCATTTTTCATAACTATAAAATCTAACAAATTTTATTTAGATAAATTATCAATAAAGAGAAATGACAAAAATCAACTTTTATATACTCAACCCATAGAAGGCGTTCAGGGGCGTCAGCCTTTACAATATCAAAGATCCAACTTAAAAAAAAATTATGGAGAGCAAAGCCAAAAAATTTTGCGTCTAAAGAATTACAAGTGATAAAAAAGGTTAATTAATTCATTCATATGCCTCAATTGATAATGGTTTTTAAAAACCACATAATAATGTAATTCTTAGCAATTTACATTGTCATGAAATTAATATAACTTTCTGCTACCATTTTAGATAATGCATTATAGAATGGACTGATAAGGAAAAATTTATAGGCCTAACCAAATCAACAATTCTTGAAGAAGAGATTATAAACGACCAATCCAAACCATAAAACTATATGGTGGTTAGAGCTTCCTCTTAGATAATATGATTAAAAGTTAGATAAATAATCAAATTTCTAAAAGATTATCTTCCATTTTTAATAAGATATAAACTACACAGTTGACCATTATTGTTTATCTAAAATATACAATCATAAGTTCTGAGCAGCTGTAGTAATAATCTTAACTTACATTGCCACACAAATAATAGATGTTGGTTAATTTGCAGTCATAACCATGACACTCACGATGTTAACTCATATCAGAATTTATTATGTTAGATAAATTGATTAAACAAAAACACTTAAAACATCTTTAAAAGAAATTATATAAATATATTGAATCTTTAATTTTTAATAATATTTTCAATTATAAATAGATGGCGTTAAAGAATCGAATGGAAATTGTTACTTATATTTATTATCAAAAGCATTTATTAGTAAAATTTATTAAAATATTAACTGTAATAATGTAAACCTGTCAAATACGTCTGTAAAAGTGGCATTTTACCTAATATTTTTTTAACCAATCTATTATAATAATCCTCAAAAAACGTCAATCAAATTTAGCCAATAGTTTTCTTTAAAAATTATTTGTCCAATAAAAATAATTTTAGCGTAATCGGCCCAATAGTAATCACCTTATCAAACTCAGCATTCATTCAATTTAGCTACCAGTTCTATTTATAAATCATATGGAAAACTCTAAGAAAATATTATTATGATACTCAAATATATGCCCAGATTTCAGAATAAACTTGATGGAATATTTAAAGATGGTACGCAAATATATACCTAGATTTTAGAATAAACTTGATGGAAGATTTAAAGACTCAACTGTTAATATTTAATATAAAATAATTCATTAATAGCTTAACATATATCATATTAAAAACACACAATTGAGTGGCTTCCACCAATTGGGTCATATCCAGTGCAGTGAATTTGTATCCACTGTATGGCAGTAAAATATACCCTACTGTAAGGGCCCATTTAATTAAAGAAAGATGATAGTACCTGATCCACTAATTGACAGTAATTTACCCTACTGTCAGGGCCCGACAATAATTTATATTGGTAAGAAGAGAAAAATAAGAAAATACTTAATTAATAAATAGTGTGCTTATCTTTTTGGAATATTTGTTTCAATAAATTAGTGAATTTTTGAATGATTATATGAATCCATAATTGTAACAAAATATTTGATGGTAAATCTAGAAAGCAATGATTATATGAATTCATAATTGTAACAAAATTGATGGTAATTCTAGAAAGCAATGATATTCAAAAATTCACTAGTTTATAGAAACAAATACTCTAAAAAGATAAGCACACTATTTATTAATTATATATTTATTAATTATATATTTTCTTATTTCTCTATTTTTACCAATAATCTATGTAAATTTCTGTCGCGTTCTCCTGACTCTAGGGTATGCCAATTAGTGGATTAGGTACCATCAACCATTTTTAATTAAATGTGCCCTGACAATAGGGTAAATTTTACTGCCAAACAGTGGATGCAAATTCACTGCACTGGATATGCCCCCTTTTGGGTGGTGGAAGTCACTTAATTGTGTGTTTCTACAGTGAAGGATACCAGTTCTAACACATTTTACCATGTATGTCTCTAGGAATTTAGGAGTAAAACAATTAATGAAATGTTCTCGAAATTTGTTATCAAAACATTTTTAAAGTAGACTTTGATAATATCCATGAAGAGGATTCTTAATATAATACGAATGGCATTTTATTTTGACTTTTCCCTTAACATTCAATCCTAATTGCTATGTATACTTAATAAATTAAGACTCTGAATTTTTACCCATAGCAATTATTTTTGCTAATAATCTCTAAATATCCAATTGCAATAGGATGAATACCACCACATAGTTTTTGTGACATAATCAGGTTGACCCCATATTTGATTCAAATCTATGTTGGGAGGTCTTTGTTTAAAAGTGTATTTATGAAGGTCTTAAAAGCATTTAAATGATTTTTTGAGGTAAGAGAAGTTTTTATATGAAATTCATGTGTGTATTTAATAGTTCCTCATCACTTAATTATATAAAATACTAAGATACATTTCTTAAAATATTCTAAAACTGGAGATGGAATAAATACCAAATTTTATTTTTATTATTTTAAGAAATACTATTCTATTCTCCAAACAACTTCTCTTTAAATCCAAAAATTTTATAGAATAATAATTACTATTTATTTTAAAAATTTAAATATATTTTAATGGAATGAATAAAATGATGGTAATATTATTTTTCTTTATATAATAATAAAAAATATTCTTTTTGTTTTTGAACCAGTAATATCAGGATTTTTATATAAAACTATACAATCAGTTAAAAAAACTCTTAATTCTATTTACATAATACTTGAAAATGTTTTAAAGAATCAGAATAATATATTTTTATCAATAATAAAAAATAGAGAATAGAATAATCTAATACTAGCTATAATTTATTTATAAGTTTAAATTCTAATATTTTTTTATGTAAATAGATTAATATATTCTTAAATAATCAATCAATCAAAAAATATTATTTTTGTCAAAAATGGGGAAGAATAATCTCTAACTCAGGTGACAAAATATTTTAATGAGATGCCACGTATAATATATTTAATAACGTGCTTGGGCCAGGACTGGGTTTTTGGTAAAAAGCCTAAAAATTTTTCATTTAAATTTAGCCTATTAAACTGTTACTAACTTAAAAATATAGCATTTATTTTCATCTAATAATAATGAATGTCTGTATTTCAAACAAAGTGATTGCCTAAATACACTTAAATATTGTTTATTTATTCATTTAAAACAATAAATTAAATTTTTGGATATGGGCTTGGGAAAAATTTTTGAAACTATGATGAGCTCGGGTTTGAATATTTTATTAAATATAGACTGGTCCTGCAAATTATTTTTAATGCTGACCTGGGTTGGAAGCGGATGAATAATCAAGGCCCGTGATGGTCTCTAATTTCAATAACTGAATTATTTCATTTTTCATCTGACTTTATTTGATTAAAGGAAAAATCAAACCACAGATATGCCTTATTACAATCATTTGCAAATAATTTCTTATAATTACTGTATTCAAGAAATTGTTGGACACATAAAGAAAGCCATTGTGAAGTGTATTTATGGAGGAAATATTAATCCATTTTTATATTAGAATAAATAATAAAAAAAAATAATGCCTGTTACCTTTCCTTTGACATATATTTTATGGATTTTTTAAGAACCCGTTATCAAAAATAAAGTTACTAGCTGATAGCCTGTCAAAAATGCCTGGGAATTCGATTTTCTTCTTTATTCAATGATGGATGAATAATAAATTTTACCTTTATTTGATAATGAATGAATCAGAATCAGAAATTTTCCTATCTTATAAGATGTGATTCAGAAATTTATATTTATTTAGATGAGGAGTTATTCTATTCCATTATTTTTTATAAATTATGATTAAATATGTCTATAAAAGTGGCATTTTACTCAATATTTTATAATTATATATAATAGTGGATTATAAAATTTAGAAAAAATCTCCTATACTTATTTGGACCTTGAAAATATTTTTAGGAAGAGGCATGGTAATTAAATTTAAAAATGAATAATATAGTTGATTAGTGATTTTAACCTCGGCTAATTACAATATTAAATTTGTTAATTTTAAATTAATAAATGATTATATTTAGCCTGATTGATTTTTTTAAATATTTTTTTATCGCTATCTATTAACTCAATATTAACCTTATGGATTGATTTTTTTATTCTTTATATTAACCTTACGGACTCATTTTATAATATTAACTCAATAGTTTGATTATATAAATTATTAAATAGATTTTTTATATAAATTGATTTTTATAAACTATATAAGCATGAAATATTGCATTTTGAGTTAAATAATTTTTTAAATAAATAAAATAAAAATTTTAAAACACTTTCTTAATTTTGTTCTTCTCCCTGCCACCTTAAAAAGGGTTATATAATAATTTAAATAATAAAAGTCAATTAAGCTTCAACTGTTAATGCTAAATTAATGAGTGATATTGAGATTATATTTTTAACACAGAATTTGATTTGCAAGCTGACATAGTGAAATAATTTATAAGTATTAATCTAATCTAATAATTAAAATAGTATTCATTTACTAAAGATTTAGATAGTCTTATTAGTTTTTAAATAATAAAATTAAATCTATATATTAAGTAATAGAATTATGAAAGAAATCGTTCAGGGGGCAATACAATTTATTTTTAGTTCAAGGGGATATTAAGGAGCTATTTAAAAAAAAATTTGCTTCAAAGGGCTATTCAAACTTTTCAGAGGGCTCGAGCTCCTATGCGCCCCTCCCTAGTGACGCCACTGGCTTACTCTATATAAAAAATTCACTAAATCTTCTATATAAACAGCATTCTCTATAATTGTTTTCCCTATAAAATGCATTCTCTATAAAATACATTCTCTATAAAAACATATAACCCGTTTTTATTTGATCACCATAATATTCATGTATTTTTAAAATGCTCATATCAATTTCAATCAATAAAGAATTAACAATAATAATATCGTCATAATTGGTTATACTCCCTTTGGTTTTTAATTATCGATAATCTTTTGCATTGTTTTACTCGTCTGCTATGAACATGTATTTGTATTTATGTTCTAAATTTTCTATATCAACTAGAGTATTCATATAGTTAAGATTTGTAAAACCGTTATTAATCAGGCAATGGTTCACCAAAGATATAATGATATTTAACCGCCTGTTGATTGCTATATAATATTGTGGATGTAATAAATTTGGAATATCTTCTGAATTCAATATAGTTCTTAAAAGCATCGAGAATGAATATCTTTCAGAATTTAAAGATATGTTATCCGAAACCTGAGATTGAGTAGAATTTATATTAATAAGGCTAAACGAAGCTAATTGTATTAATCGCCGCCATGTTTTTAATCGTAATATGCAACAATTATATAGTGGAGCCAATATACTAAATTCATCATGTTTATAAGTACCAAAACTTTTACCATTGTCTAAGAGAGTCATAAAGATTTTATTTAAATTTGATGAAATAGATGGTTGATTTATAGATAGAAATTCAACATGATGCCTATCACTGTTTCCTATTAGAAAGTCTAATATGCATGAATCAATTAAATCTAATAGATTAGGTAATTTATTAAATATATTTAAAGGATGACTATTTTGGCGTACTAATCTACAAAATTGGGGATCATATTCCCACCTTGTTAAAAAAGATATCAAATAAATCATTAATTTATTTTACCTTGCCAAATAATTATGTTTGTAACTGCGAATCCATGGATTAACATATTTTGTCAATTTAGCATGTGAAGGTAAAAATAAACTTATCGATGCCTCTAAATTAGAATGAGCTTTTATACAGACAGACTCATTTTTATTACAATAATAACAAACACCATAAAAGCAAATATCGCCTTTTACAAAAAAATAAAAATATAAAATGATAAAAATATTTACTATGTTTCCGATAAAAAGTATGGGATAACTGTATATTTGATTTCGCTTTTAATTCTGTAATATTTATTAGTCTCCCAGTTGTTAGAGGTACTTTATTAAAGCCTAAAAGACTAAGCAAATTTGAATAAATAAGATAAATTTGAATAAATACAAACAATTATTTTTGTAAAAATATATATTTTTGTTTGTAAATGTATTATTTTGAAATTATATATAAACTGAAATCTAATCGAAATAAATTATTATATATAAAACAGAGACCTGGGCTGGGCCGTATTTTAATTTTTTAAATATACCCGAGCCGAGCCATATATTTTAAAACCAAATATTTTAAATAGTTATTGTTAGCTATAAAAATTAAATATAAATAAAAAATATTTTTAAAAAAAGGGCCGGGCCTGATAATTTTTTTAAAGAAATAATCCGTGGCAAATCGTCCTAAAAATATAAAACCTGAGCCGGGCCGAAAAATTATTAAAAATAATCTGGGGCCGGTGTAACATGATAAGATATTACTATGATAAACTAACTCTCCCTTTGATAAATAGTATTAAGGAGGAAGTTCATTACTAACCAAGATTTTCTTAACAATGTAAATTGACAGGGAAAGTTAAATGATCTTGTGTTTATTTTATTGCTGAAATTTTTGTAAATTTCAGTTTTGATTTCAAATTTGATTTTTGAAATTTAATTTTGAATCGAATTTTAATCTTATTTATAAAGGAATCCACATTTCAAAATTATATATGAAGTTATCAAAACACTCCAATCCACATTACATAGAAAAAAAAGTATTCAATTCCTAACTCATATATTAAGAAACCCCAACTTAATCCATGACGCTTTAACATGGCTTTTTACTTGTAAGGAAAAGACTTACAGCAGGTACAAAACATTTTGGTTTAACCGAGAATTGAAAGACGTTTCCGATTTCAAAATAAATTGAAAACAATTCACAAAATTAAATAATAAAAAATGTATAAAAAATAATTTTTAAGATAAAATCAAGCTATCTAAAATAATACCCCCCCCCCTTTCGCTAATCTACTCATTAACCTATTCAACTACTATAAATATGATGCTTATACATTTGACAAATTACAGGTTTATTTTAATCATACTTTTAACTCATTAAATACTGAATTTAAGTCAGTTGTAACCCTGTCCCTAATACAATTAAATATAAACATAGCAGTTGCCCATTCTCTTTCAATCAATTCACAGACGTTTAAATAATAGTCATTGGACTATTTACGTTGTTGCCCACAAAAGTGCAAAGGGCTTCTCATATTTTTTCCCCTAAATTCTTTTATTAAAATTAGTGTTGTTAAACGGCTTGATTTGAGCCGATTTATATAAACGCCCCTAAATTCTTTTATTAAAATTAGTGTTGTTAAACGGCTTGATTTGAGCCGATTTATATAAACGTTATCCCAACATTTTATTCAGAAAAGTATTACTAAGCTTAAAGATTTTGGTCATAGATGGCACAAAGGTTTGGACATCTATTAGTGAAATCTCGAGGGTTAAGCGATATTTTTTTGGCTAAAATATTGAGTTAGCTATTTTTAAAATAGGCTTAAATCGAGCCGTTTAGCAACAATAATTAAAATCCAATTAGATGGAAATCAGACCTAGCGTAGCTCTATACCTATAACGGTTAGAGGGCGAATGTGCTTAATCACGTAATTATAAATGAAACGCTAATCAGTAGAAAAGTACCAATTGTTAAAATTGAGAAATAGACTTATAATTATACCTAAAATGATACAAACTTAGAATTATACTTAAAATTTACATTTGACAAAACTGGGCAGAGACCTTTAATAATTTTAACCTTTGGTGAAGTAATTTCACCCTTAAGTCAGCTACAGAAACTTTTAAGTTTGCTCCATGAATTGTAAATTTTTATAGTGCTGAAAGATTATATGCAACCATTTTTATATATTGGTTCATATGTTACTATTAAATTATTTTAAAATATATTGTTGTAAACTATTTAATAAGATTAAATTTTTTTATAACAAAACACATAATTTTCTATGACAATACTTAATTAACCCTTGAGTGTATTCAAAATTTTAGCCTAAAATATATATTAAAACCACCTTACGGTAAAATATTTATAAATTTTGAATAAGATTTTTAAAAATATTTATATAAATAGGATTTTTTAATTCTAAATATTTTCTATTCAATCATAATAAAGTTTGGAATATTTAATTAACCTTGAGAAGAAAAGTGGTTTTAATTCATATTTCTACCTAAAGTTTGGAATGCATTCTCACAATATTAACATATTTTAATTTTTTTTGTGAAATATTTATAATTTTTGTAAAAATATTTTTATAAGATATAGAATATTAGGTTAGGGTACCTTTTCAGGGGCAATTATTTTTGTTATTTTTTAATGTTATTTTTTGTTATTTTTTAATGTTATTTTTTGTTATTTTTTTATGCGATTTTTTGTTATTTTTTTATGCGATTTTTTTTATGTAATTTTTTTATGAAAACTATTGTTTTTATGTTATTTTTTTATGATTGGTTCATTTTCTTATTGGTTAATTTTTTATTTAAGATATTTTTAAATTAATATATCTTTTTTTATTTAAGATATTTTAAAATAATTTTTTCTAAAATTTAAAATTCGTACAATTATTTAAAGGAAGTGATGGGGGCAAATAAGGGGGAAGGCTAGGGGTAAGGGGTAAAATTATTAGATTATGTACAATGCGGGTAGGTTTGGGGTTAAATTTTTGATAGATGAAACTTCGCTATTTAAAATTTATTTGGTTGATTCTTTCTATACAAACTTAATATGATTCCCTCTATACAAACTTAATATGATTCCTTCTATACAAACTTAATATGATTCCTTCTATACAAACTTAATATGATTCCTTCTATATAAACTTAATATGATTCCTTCTATACAAACTTAATATGATTCCTTCTATACAAACTTAATATGAATAATTTTTTCTAAAATTTGTATAAAGAATTTAATTTTTTTTAGTGATAACACTATAATTAAAGGAAGATTCCAAAAATAAATAATTAAGCATAACAATCGAAATAATTTATTCATTAAATTGAAATATACTATTAAAATTTATACAATCATTAATAAAATGAATAAAAACATCAAAACGATTTAATAATCTATATTTTCGAAAATATCTATATTCAAGAAGATATTCATGAATATTATCCCGATCCCCATGTCTTTTATAATTTGCCTTTAGATCCTTCAAAAATATTCATTTTAAAAAAAATGGAAGGAATTATATAATATATATTGGAACTAAAAAAAAGGGAACCAAAAAAAGATTTATACCAATCTTACCCCTAGCCTTCCCCCTTATTTGCCCCCATCACTTCCTTTAAATAATTGTACGAATTTTAAATTTTAGAAAAAATTATTTTAAAATATCTTAAATAAAAAAAGATATATTAATTTAAAAATATCTTAAATAAAAAATTAACCAATAAGAAAATGAACCAATCATAAAAAAATAACATAAAAACAATAGTTTTCATAAAAAAATTACATAAAAAAAATCGCATAAAAAAATAACAAAAAATCTAAAAAAATAACAAAAAATAACATTAAAAAATAACAAAAATAATTGCCCCTGAAAAGGTACCCTAACCATATTATTTATAATATAAATTTTTATTGTTAAATATCTTCTATTCAATCATAATAAAGTTGAAATATTAAAAGCATAATAAAGTTGAAATATTAAACATAATAAAGTATTGTAATAAATTATAATGAAGATTTTTTTTTTAAATTTTCTATAAAATATATGATAAAATATAATTCTCAATAAATATTAATAATTTATTAATCGCATAAAAATCTAAAAATGCAGAAATTAACTCTACGTTATTAAAATCTTATGGAACTAGTTACTTGTATATAGTTATTTTAACAACACTATTGGTGACAAAGAATGAGACAAGATGTTTTTGACTTTGTTATATGCTGCGATCTTTGTCAATAATCAAATATCAACAAAAAAAAGCTTAGAAGTGTAGTTGTAGATGTAGGAATATATTGTAATATACTATTTATACATTATGAATTACTATATTCGTCAATTAGATATGGTTATAATGATTAAATATATATTTATGATTAATATAATATTGGGTGATGTTAACTATCTAGCACCTATAGTATCAATTATAATTATAATTTCCACAATTGATTCCATATGATTAATAACTTGTGAATATATATATTAAAGATTGAATAAACTGTGCATGTATAGTTTAGCATAAGCGGATTAGTTTATAGTCTATTCCCATTCCATTATAAATAAACGAATGGTGGTAGATTAGAATGGATTTAAATATATTGCAGTAGATTATTTTACAAAATGTCGAATTGCAGCCCTTAAATGATAAAACGTAACATTCAGTGATTCTTTTTATATAAGTTATTATGCAGACATCAGGGACAAGGTCTGATATATATATAATAGCCGAATTTATTTAGCAAATTTAAATACAAATTAATGCTCTGGGACACAAGTTTGTGAATGAAGTGAAACTATATCACAAACGAGTGGGAACACAGAAGAGGGTGACAAATGCTTAACATCCTCAGGCTAATGGCAAGAGTAAATTACACTCTTCAAAATTCTCTTTGAAGTGTATAATATAAAAGATAATCATACAGATTGGTCAGATGTTTTATCTAGTATAGGATTTGCCTACAATATATCAAGGCATGAGTCTCTCCCAAAATCCTACCTTCAGTCTCATCGTGGCGGGGGAGTGGCAACGTCTTTTGGTGGCTAATGGAGGCTAAAAGGTTCCTTGTGATCTGGGTCTAGAATAGGATCACCGTCTCCTCGACGGGGTGTAAAAACCCCTTAAAGAGGTTGATGTCAGGAAGGGCATCCGATTGTAAAAACCTTGCTACAAAATTTCCCTATGGTTACAACAAAGCATGGGCGGGGTACAGCCCAAAGTACCCCGTGGGCCTCCTCATCCGCCTACGACAAAAAAAAGGATGGGAAACCTGGTGGAACCACTATTCATGAAAATGAAACTTATGACGGCCATAAACGACCTGATAAAAAGTGGAGAAACCAGT